ATAAAAATAGACGGAAGTTAGACATGTAAACTTCATGTGATTTGTACTTTGTTGAAAATATATAATTACATGCACACTTTTTTTCCCATGTGCCAAACATCCATACTACCCTGACCAGACCCACGGCTGGGCACACTAAAAACCCTTCCATCCTCCCCTACCTTAGACGCTAAACTCTCATTCTTTTCCCTCTTCTAGCAAAAACCCTCAATTCCCTCTAACAAGGCAGAGGCGAAGGGGGAGACGAAAATGGTATTGTGCAGTGTATTGTTGTTGAGCTAAACAAATGAAATTTTTATTCCGCCTTTTTTGTTTCTTTTTTTTAGGGACAAAGTTGATATCTCAAGAAAAAAATATGAAAAACAATGTACAAGATGTAGGGTGTAATGATTCTTTTATGTTTCAGTCACCTTTGTTAGTCAATTTAATCCACTTGAAATTTGGTGGGGGCAAATTGCAACATTTGAAATCAAAAGGAGTTGATTGTAATAAGGGACATAGTTGAAGCGAGTAAATTGTAATTAACCCATTAAATATTTGACAATGAGCTACATACATTAGGATATTGATGGTATAATTCTAATAATTTCTTAAAAATCTATTCTTTCAATATCAAGTGAAAGAGCAATGTTTTTTGGACTTAATTTATTAATTTAATTAATCATAACCATTAAAATTAACAGTGGGTCCCAATATTTGTTTGAATTCGCTACTAATCTAATAATTATGGTAGATTAAATCAATAAATTATGTTTATAAATTAGGTCTAATTAGTATTATTTCTTGTGAATATTCAAAATAGGATGCTTTAGCCATTTCTTTTCTTGTGAGTAGACTCGACCATTTTCCAGTGCACTTTTTCGCTGTCAAACGTTTGAGACTGAGCTACCTACATTAGTATAATCAACAATATATCAGAGGAAGCAGTGGATTGACCGCTGCTTTATTGATGCAGACAGGTCTTGGATCAATTGACCCCACTTCTAAGACTTTAGGGAGGCAGTGGACTATCTTGCGAATTCCTAACTAAAATGGAATAGTCATGACATTGATGGCATTTAAATTTGATTGGATGAGAAGTCTTTGCCTGTAAAATATTCAAACACTTCGGTTCTCTATTTAATCTGATAGCACTTTGCCAATAAATAGAAACAAAAATATGTCAGACTCTTATTAATTACCATCATCGTATATCTGTAGAAAAATATGATGGAAACAAAGGGTTTGCAGAGGTGGGTAGTGATGTTAGTTTCGGTATGGGTTTGTGGGGTTGGATGTTTTGGTTGTTGGGAGCAAGGGAGAATTGCTCTCTTGCAACTCAAAGCTTCCATCAACTTCCGACATGGAACGTCTTTACCATCTTGGGAGGACACAGTGGAAGGTAATAGTATGGAGAGTGACTGTTGTTATTGGGAAGGAGTTGAATGCAATGAGACTAGAAGGTTTACTATTGAGATAACTAAGATATTACAATATTTAAGATCGATTTTCAACAGACGAGATCGGATAGTCGACNTTTTATTGTTTCAGTTTATTTGAATATATATTTAATATTTTAATTAGATGAAAATATGAGGTGAATTTAGTCATTAATGGGGTGGATATAGATGAGATGAATTTATTAGTTTGAAATAAGATGAGTTAATGGGTGGGAATGGAGATTTAGGGAGTGAGAATAATCTTTTAGTTTAAGCCATAAGGAGTTGATTGAAACTAGTTGCATAATTTAACTACTATTTTAGAAGTTTATTCTTTGAAGAAAACTGGCGAATGTTCAGAATAGGGGTGCTTTAGCCATTTCTTGTCTTTTTATGAGCACACTCCACCATTCTCCGGTTAACTTTTACTCTATTAAATATGGGATAATTGTAAAATGTCCCTTTTTATTTTGGGTAATTTTTCATTCACTCTTTCAGGTTTTGATTTTAACAAATATTTCATTTTAAGTTTGAACATTTTGCAATTTATTTCAACAGTTAATTTTAAACCATAAAAATAGACGGAAGTTAGACATGTAAACTTCATGTGATTTGTACTTTGTTGAAAATATATAATTACATGCACACTTTTTTTCCCATGTGCCAAACATCCATACTACCCTGACCAGACCCACGGCTGGGCACACTAAAAACCCTTCCATCCTCCCCTACCTTAGACGCTAAACTCTCATTCTTTTCCCTCTTCTAGCAAAAACCCTCAATTCCCTCTAACAAGGCAGAGGCGAAGGGGGAGACGAAAATGGTATTGTGCAGTGTATTGTTGTTGAGCTAAACAAATGAAATTTTTATTCCGCCTTTTTTGTTTCTTTTTTTTAGGGACAAAGTTGATATCTCAAGAAAAAAATATGAAAAACAATGTACAAGATGTAGGGTGTAATGATTCTTTTATGTTTCAGTCACCTTTGTTAGTCAATTTAATCCACTTGAAATTTGGTGGGGGCAAATTGCAACATTTGAAATCAAAAGGAGTTGATTGTAATAAGGGACATAGTTGAAGCGAGTAAATTGTAATTAACCCATTAAATATTTGACAATGAGCTACATACATTAGGATATTGATGGTATAATTCTAATAATTTCTTAAAAATCTATTCTTTCAATATCAAGTGAAAGAGCAATGTTTTTTGGACTTAATTTATTAATTTAATTAATCATAACCATTAAAATTAACAGTGGGTCCCAATATTTGTTTGAATTCGCTACTAATCTAATAATTATGGTAGATTAAATCAATAAATTATGTTTATAAATTAGGTCTAATTAGTATTATTTCTTGTGAATATTCAAAATAGGATGCTTTAGCCATTTCTTTTCTTGTGAGTAGACTCGACCATTTTCCAGTGCACTTTTTCGCTGTCAAACGTTTGAGACTGAGCTACCTACATTAGTATAATCAACAATATATCAGAGGAAGCAGTGGATTGACCGCTGCTTTATTGATGCAGACAGGTCTTGGATCAATTGACCCCACTTCTAAGACTTTAGGGAGGCAGTGGACTATCTTGCGAATTCCTAACTAAAATGGAATAGTCATGACATTGATGGCATTTAAATTTGATTGGATGAGAAGTCTTTGCCTGTAAAATATTCAAACACTTCGGTTCTCTATTTAATCTGATAGCACTTTGCCAATAAATAGAAACAAAAATATGTCAGACTCTTATTAATTACCATCATCGTATATCTGTAGAAAAATATGATGGAAACAAAGGGTTTGCAGAGGTGGGTAGTGATGTTAGTTTCGGTATGGGTTTGTGGGGTTGGATGTTTTGGTTGTTGAGAGCAAGGGAGAATTGCTCTCTTGCAACTCAAAGCTTCCATCAACTTCCGACATGGAACGTCTTTACCATCTTGGGAGGACACAGTGGAAGGTAATAGTATGGAGAGTGACTGTTGTTATTGGGAAGGAGTTGAATGCAATGAGACTAGAAGGTTTACTATTGAGATAACTAAGATATTACAATATTTAAGATCGATTTTCAACAGACGAGATCGGATAGTCGACTAGAGAGAAGGATTTGCTGCTTTCTTAAAATAATAGAGTCAGGAGAGGGTCTATGTTAATAGAGCTCTTTAGATAGGGAGAGGAAAGACGTAACTAGACCGCAGAAAGAATAGAATCTTTTACCGCTACATTGGCTGGAGAANTTAACTTTTACTCTATTAAATATGGGATAATTGTAAAATGTCCCTTTTTATTTTGGGTAATTTTTCATTCACTCTTTCAGGTTTTGATTTTAACAAATATTTCATTTTAAGTTTGAACATTTTGCAATTTATTTCAACAGTTAATTTTAAACCATAAAAATAGACGGAAGTTAGACATGTAAACTTCATGTGATTTGTACTTTGTTGAAAATATATAATTACATGCACACTTTTTTTCCCATGTGCCAAACATCCATACTACCCTGACCAGACCCACGGCTGGGCACACTAAAAACCCTTCCATCCTCCCCTACCTTAGACGCTAAACTCTCATTCTTTTCCCTCTTCTAGCAAAAACCCTCAATTCCCTCTAACAAGGCAGAGGCGAAGGGGGAGACGAAAATGGTATTGTGCAGTGTATTGTTGTTGAGCTAAACAAATGAAATTTTTATTCCGCCTTTTTTGTTTCTTTTTTTTAGGGACAAAGTTGATATCTCAAGAAAAAAATATGAAAAACAATGTACAAGATGTAGGGTGTAATGATTCTTTTATGTTTCAGTCACCTTTGTTAGTCAATTTAATCCACTTGAAATTTGGTGGGGGCAAATTGCAACATTTGAAATCAAAAGGAGTTGATTGTAATAAGGGACATAGTTGAAGCGAGTAAATTGTAATTAACCCATTAAATATTTGACAATGAGCTACATACATTAGGATATTGATGGTATAATTCTAATAATTTCTTAAAAATCTATTCTTTCAATATCAAGTGAAAGAGCAATGTTTTTTGGACTTAATTTATTAATTTAATTAATCATAACCATTAAAATTAACAGTGGGTCCCAATATTTGTTTGAATTCGCTACTAATCTAATAATTATGGTAGATTAAGTCAATAAATTATGTTTGTAAATTAGGTCTAATTAGTATTATTTCTTGTGAATATTCAAAATAGGATGCTTTAGCCATTTCTTTTCTTGTGAGTAGACTCGACCATTTTCCAGTGCACTTTTTCGCTGTCAAACGTTTGAGACTGAGCTACCTACATTAGTATAATCAACAATATATCAGAGGAAGCAGTGGATTGACCGCTGCTTTATTGATGCAGACAGGTCTTGGATCAATTGACCCCACTTCTAAGACTTTAGGGAGGCAGTGGACTATCTTGCGAATTCCTAACTAAAATGGAATAGTCATGACATTGATGGCATTTAAATTTGATTGGATGAGAAGTCTTTGCCTGTAAAATATTCAAACACTTCGGTTCTCTATTTAATCTGATAGCACTTTGCCAATAAATAGAAACAAAAATATGTCAGACTCTTATTAATTACCATCATCGTATATCTGTAGAAAAATATGATGGAAACAAAGGGTTTGCAGAGGTGGGTACTGATGTTAGTTTCGGTATGGGTTTGTGGGGTTGGATGTTTTGGTTGTTGAGAGCAAGGGAGAATTGCTCTCTTGCAACTCAAAGCTTCCATCAACTTCCGACATGGAACGTCTTTACCATCTTGGGAGGACACAGTGGAAGGTAATAGTATGGAGAGTGACTGTTGTTATTGGGAAGGAGTTGAATGCAACGAGACTAGAAGGTTTACTATTGGGATAACTAAAATATTACCGTATTTAAGATCGATTTTCAACAGACGAGATCGGATAGTAGAATAGAGAGAAGGATTTGCTGCTTTCTTAAAATAATAGAGTCAGGAGAGGGTCTATGTTAATAGAGCTCTTTAGATAGGGAGAGGAAAGACGTAACTAGACTGCAGAAAGAATAGAATCTTTTACCGCTACATCGGCTGGAGAAGAAAACTCTGCAAAGGAGATCCCTATCCTTTCTCTAGTTGAAGACTAATCGGGATATTCCCGAAGATGCTTGACTTTACAGCTCATGTAATTAAGCTTTCCCTTAACTCTACAAGGGACCGGCTTTTAGGAGATTGGTATTTCAATGCCTCTTTGTTTCTTCCCTTTAAAGAGCTCCAAAATCTCGACTTATCTGATAACCAGCCTGTTGGCTGGTTTGCAAATGAAGGTCTAGATTTTCCTGTTTATCAAACCAATATGCATGTGGTGTTATTAGTATGTTGATTTGGAGCTTTATTTTTTCCCTGAAATCTAAACTTCTTAGCAGGTTTTGAAAGATTATCTGGGTTGAGCAAGCTGGAGATTCTTCGGTTGGATTGGAATCGCTATGATAACAGTGTCCTATCCTCTCTCGGAGTGCTTTCATCACTTAAGAGATTATACATGAGCAACAGCCAATTGAATAGATCTGTTCACTTACAAGGTATGAAGGAGACCTTAGCAATATTTATTTCTCAAGGAGAATTGCAATGAAATACTGCAGTATCCTACGAGATCAGAATGCAAGTGTTTTACGTTCACTAGGGGCATTGCCATCTCTTAGGACGCTAAGCCTTAGTGTGGAGGGATTGGTCACCAAAAAAGGTAAACTAGTGTTGATGATAATTAGCAACTATCCCCCACTCAACAACAACGAAATTTTCTTTTCTCAAACTTTTCTTTTCTCAATCTCATTCTTCAAGTTTGGCTATTGTGCATAATCAGTCCAGTACATGTTGTTTAAATTTTGGGTGGGAAAGGCCACGCACACCTGATGGATACTCACTCAGGGGCATTATTTGGAAATAAAAACAGTTGTTACACTTTATCCCAAAAATATCGTCGGGGTTTCCATTTTGGTCTTAAAACTGAATTTTTTCCTTTGTTCCTCAATTGAACAAAATTTTTCGTGCATCCAAAGTTCCAACATTCATTTTGTATATACATATATATACTCATTCATACACATACAAACACAAAAACCTATATCCATGCGAAAACATACACAAACACACACACTCATCTCTCTATCTGTTAAACAAACACTCATCCGATTCTTCTACATTATGACTCTCTCTCTCTCTCTCCTGAGGCTGGCCAAACAAGGGAGACAAAAAGGTGTGAGCTTTAGGCCCTAGTTATAAAAAAGGCCTCTTATTTCATATGTCAATAGTATTGTTGAGGCCCAAACTATAAATCCATAATATTCTACTAAGTTATTACCAAAAGAATCTTATAAAGTTTAAGCCCAATAAGAAAGTTTTATATTCAATGGTCTAGATCCATCCATAAATCAGCCCACAAAATTCAAAATTCATATCTCTCCCCTTGCCCTAGCACTTCACAAAATCCATATCTTTAAACCTATTTAAAAATAACCTACTTAATTTTGTTGGCAAGAGTGATAACCTAACTTTGATAAAAAAAAGAATCCAAATATCAAATTTTAATTTTTTAAAGTAACACTAATAATTAAATTTTATTGTTCAATATTTTAAGACTTTTGTTTAAATTCAAGTTTTTTTTAAAAAAAAATTATAGATCCTTTTTGATCATATGTACTTTATTTTGATTATTTATTATAGACAACTATCTAGATATAAAAACTTAAAAATAAGAAAAACTTAAAAACTAATTGTACAATGTTACAAGTATCATTCTAAAAGATATGATAGCATTTGATAAGATATAATAGCAGAATTTGAGAATATAATAATTTGATTAGGAATGTTTATTTGAACTAGCAAGAAATTATTTTTTTTTAAAAATTATATTTGTAGTAAAAAATATCAAAAGATATGTGCCCCCCTTCCCCCCCCCCCCCCCCCCACCGCCACTATCTCACCATCACCCCTACCACATCACCCCCATTGCCCCTCAACCACCATCACCATTGTCATTTATAACTGTCACTATTACAACCAACTGTTATCATCTATCACAACTATCATCGTCTTCCACCACCACCACTACCGTCTACCATCACTACCACCACTCGCCCACTTAAATTCTTTTATTTCTTCTCTATTTTTGTAATTTGATTTTAGGTGTGAATACGAATATATTTATTGTTGACCATTTTTTTTTATTACTCCATACTTTCAGACATGAAAAATAACTAGTATTCTTATAATTGCGTGAGAAAGACAAAAACAAGGTGTCAAGATTAATGTAAAAGTTGAATGAGCGAATGACATTTTCCACGCTACTTTTTTTTAGATTTTATATTCACACCCTAAAATATTAGAATTTCTTGATTGCACCCTCAATTACATAAAAAAAAAGTAGCAATGTGATTTAATTNCCCCCCCCCCCCCCCCCCCCCCCCCCAAAAAAAAAAAAAAAAGAACAGAAAAAAAATTATAGATCTTTTGAAGTCTTGAGCTTCCAAATTAATTTTTAAGGTTTAGTCCATTGAATGTTTACGGAGCTTGTAAACTAGAAAACTCAAAGACAAGGCTAATGAGTTATGATGAGAAGGTGATAATAGAGGGATTGTGATGTTAGCCAATCTCTTGGGTGGAGTTGGGCGGTGATGGTGATGGTGGTGGGATCAAATCTAATCTAAATCCAAAGTTAATGGATACAATTAAACAGGATGACAACCTTTAGGGACTGAAATTTTTTGAGGACCAAAGTGGAAATCAATTGACAGTTTTGAGGACACAAATTGTATCTTGATATTTTTATTTCCTATTGAATCTCTTCATTCAATCTTACCTGCACAACATGTAGCCTTGTCCGTCCAAAATTTGGATGGAAGTTACCAATTGGACAGATCTACCAAACTTGAAGGACAAAATTAGGCAAAATACATGCACTGAACTGGGAATCAAGTGATACTTAAGAAGTGAAATGCATAATTAATTCTATTCGATCAATTTTCCCCCTTGTCCATATTCAGCAAGGAATAGCCCCTTCTCCTATATATTATCGTATTTTCATAATTTCTTGACTCCTGTAATCTAACCATATCCCATTATCCCATATGACTAACACTTCTAGCCTTCAAGGAGATAAGAAGGTTTTGCTTCTTAATCTTGTTTCCAAGTATTTTCAATACAGTTGGGTGGACTGATCAACTTGGAGCACTTAGATTTGTCTGGTTCATCCATCAATGGGAGATTTCTTTATGAGTTGATTTGCGAAAGCCTTACCCATTCATCATTGATATTATGGAATGCCTTCCCCCCTCCTGTGGATAGTTGCTTTGTTGTGGTTCCTTGAATTGTTAAGTTGGAAACTTTAGTTTGTTCACAAGTCATTAGACAATTTTATTTATTTGCGAATTAGAATTCTAGCTAAGCATCCTTTATTACATTTACAAGATTGTGTGACCTTAACAACCTTGAAGAGCTATACTTTGCTGGTAATGATATGGAGGGTATATTTCCTTCCTGGGAAACTTGACCTTGCTCTGAATCTTGGATCTCTCCTCAATTATGCCACCTAAAACGAATAAGCCTGATCGATATCTCTCAGAATAGTCTTTCAGGTTCTATTCCTCGTTGCCTAACTAACTTGACTTTTGAGTCAAACTATGCCAAATCTGTTACAGGTTCGAAATATGATTTATTCCCCCCAGGAATAAGTCAATTCTCATTGTATTCATCTTATTTTGAATCAATAAGATTGCCGAATGTCAAAGAAAAGGTCGAGTTCCCTACAAAGGGCTGGTCCTATTCCTATGACGGCAACATCCTCATTTTTATGTCAGGAATTGATTTCTCCTGCAACCAATTAACAGGTAAAATACCATCCAAAATGGGGAACTTAAGTGAGCTCCATTCATTGAATGTGTCTCATAATAATCTCACTGGATCAATACCAACAACATTCTCCAACTTAAGGCATATTGGGAGCTTAGATCTTTCCTATACCAACCTGAATGGGAGTATCCCCTCTGAACTGACTGAGTTGAACACTTTAGTGGTCTGCAGTGTAGCACACAACAACTTAACAGGTAAAACTCCAGATTTCAAAGCTCAATTTGCTACCTTCAATGAGATTAGCTACGAGGGAAATCCTCATCTGTGGACCTCCATCACATAGAAATTGTACTAACGCTGGAGCACCATCATCAATGCAAAAGGTTTCAGAGGATGAACAAAATAATGTTGGGTTCGTGTAAGCTTTTGTGTGTCGTATATTGTAGTGTTGTCACAATTGTAGCAGTTCTTTATGTGAACCCTTATTGGCGAAGGGCGTGGTTCAATTTCATTGAAATGTGTATAGTCTCTAGCTACTACATTGTCATTGACAGTTTCTGTAAGTTCAGCTGCAGGATTATGTAATTCTTTATCTAGATAGATGTGTCAATGTAACATTGTTTTTGATATGATATTCAAGTAATAAATCTACTCGTTAGTTGCACAAGCCATGTTGACATCATTTTTTCTCATGAAAATTCGCTCTTCTCTAATGACAATATTCAAAAAAAAAAAAAAAAAAAAAAAGACCCCTCTAGAGGGCACTATTAAATTTTTTTAGCATTATGCAATTAGTTTTTGTGGCTGTATCCTTGGGTTATGTATCACTGTCTAGAACTTTTCTTTTATACCATTCTGCCATCGTAGTTGTAAGGGCAGAAGATGGAGCTGGAAAAGAGTTCACCGTGTGCTTATAATAAGCCAGTTGATTATTTAAACAAATATTTAGCTGCACAAATAGACTTAACTTACTGACCTAATGCTATGTTACTGGAAATGAAAGCTTTTCCAATAGTCCTGTTTCCAATATCAGTTTGCAAAATGCATTTTCTATAGTCCTGTTTTTCTTTGCTAGTCAATACCATAGCTTGCCAATGTAACTCAATTCAGTTGTGTAGTTTGGTGATCGTCAATGACAACTTAGGAAGTTATTTTTCTTCGTTATTTTCCCATAATGTTGGTGATGATTTGCATATTATAGGATTGAGATGCTGTTGAAACTAATGTGATTTCAGTCCCGCCAAGCATCCAATGGATTCAGTTTGAAAAGAATTTAGCTCTCGTGCTATGGAAGCATTGGAACCACAGTTGTATTATCAAGATGTAATAATGATGATGCAATATGATCTAAACCATATATGGGCTCAATTGACCCCAAGTATGTGAATTAACTCCGTTGTAAGTAGTAGTAATGCAGATCGATCTAAACTATATATGGGGTAAATTAACTCCAGGTCGATACACGAAGTTAGCTATGTCGTGCTACAAAAGTAGTATATTGACTGTTGTTTTATATAGTTGAATGGAGTAATAATTAGTAATGACACAGATTGATCTAAACTATCAGTGGGGGTTTAACCCCACATACATGAATTTAACTCCGTCGTATTCCGAAAATAGTGGACTAACTGCTGCATTAAGTCAAATTGGATAGCAATTATTTTTAATGTAGATTGATCTAAACCATGAACAGGATCAATTGACCCCACATACATACAAGAATTTAGCTCCACTCTGCCGTGGAAATAGTGGATTGATTGTTGCATTCTTGAATCAAATGGAATAGTAATGGGTTGTGGCAATGGCTCCACATACAACAATTTAGGCCTGCCGTGCTAGACAGGCAATGGATGGATTGACTTGATCATTTACCAAGTCACGTGGAATAGCCTTGACATTGATTGCTTCTAAATTCTGGTCCATGAGAAGGTTTGGCCTGTAAACTATCTGAACAAAACCATTCACTTCACAAACTAGCAAATACATGAAAATGGGAACATTTGGCCTGTTCGGAGTTTGGGGTGTCCGTGGGTTGGGTTTGTCCAAGAGACCCGTTATTCAGCTCAAAATATAGACCCAAATCTTGATAGTTGATCGGACTAAGCCCGGGCTCAATATCTTTTAAGAGAGGGTTTGGGTCTGCCCTCAAGTCCATTATCCAACTCAAAATTCGGCCCATTAACTCACCCGTGTAGAAAAACTGGCATTAGAAATCGACTGTCAAGCCCGGACCACCTACTTTGTTTGAAAAAAAAAAATTGATCATCGAAAGCTAGGTGACATATTTCACTAAAAAAAAAAGAAGTTATTTACTTAAATAGTAAGTTGAGTAATCTAGGGTATTATTCATTATTCATTATTTACTTAAATACTAAACAATTCATTTCAAATAAAATTATTCATTATTTATTTTTTATCCATTTGATTCTACTTTTAATTCAAAAAAATAATTTACAAACTAAGTTGGAAACTTGAGGGCTTTGGAGTAAAATAAGTCCGTTTGGACCTTGGCTTTTTCACTAGCTTATGCAGCAGCGTTTTGTATCCAAAAAAGCTTATTTAGGTTGATTCAAGAAGCTAATTTTATAAGTGTTTCTTTTGGTTGTTTAGAGTTTTGTTGTGGGTTACACATAACTTTTTAGTTTATTATATCCATAAAATACTATTAGTGACGTAAAAAAATTTAATATTCATATTTTGTGAACTATTATGTATAATCTATACATACATGTGATTTTTTTTTTTTTTTTTGGTAATTTTGACACAAAAAGTTAGAAAGTCATTTTAAATGAATTTTTTTTCAACTATTTAAAGAATACTCTAAACGATTTTAGAAAACCTTTTCAAATCGCAGCTTTTTACCTAAAAAAGTCAGTCCAAACAGGCTTATCGTACCATTCTCCAATGCATTTAGATCACTAACTTGCAGCTCCAACTACCAGTTATTAGTGCAAAGCAAAATTTGATTCCAACCCTCCCATGCCCATTTCAATCCCTTGAAGCACTCCATGGATTCAGTTTGCAGTCAGAAGAAAATAATTTAGTTCCGTCGTACTATGGAAACAGTGAACTGAAACCTGAATTATTGAATTGGATAGATTAGTAATGTGCAATGATGAAGACTAATCTAAACCATCAACTGCCCTGTAGGTGAATCTGGGCACCATATATGGAAACATTTGATTAATTGTTGTATTATTAAGTTGACTAGAATAACAATTAGTTATAATGCAAACTCATCTAAACCATCAATAGATTCAATTAACACCACATACATGAATTTAGCACCACCGTGCTATGAAAGCAGTGATTAATTGTTGCATTATTGAATCGAATAGAATAGCAATCCGTAATGATGCAGAGTCATCTAAACCATTCGTAGGACCAAGTGACTCTATCTACATGAATTTAGCCATAAGTTATGATAGAATAATAGTAAGTTATGATAGAAACTCATCTAAACCATCAGTTGGTCCCACACACAAGAATTTAGCTATGCCATCCTATGGAAGCAATGCATTGATCGTTGACTAGTAGTGATGTAGCTGGTCTTCCCAATGGCTCCACATTAAGGAATTTAGGCCTGCCGTGTTCTAGGAAGGGGACTTGTGAATTACCAAGTCAAGTGGAATAGTCATGATAATGATGGTTTCTAAATTCTAGTGGATGAGAAGGATTTGCCTGTCAACAAAAGTAGAATGATATGTAATTACCGCTATAGATTAGTAGAAAAGTTTTCTTGATTGAATCAAAGGGTTTGCAATCGTGAGTTACGTGTGATTAACAATGTTATCGGATATACATATAATTAAAATTCTATATATTTATCAAAGAAAAAGTTTCACATTCTAATCGACAATTAACAGGATCCCTTTGAATATATTGAGTACAACTTAAATTCATGATAAGTGTTTTAACATAGAGCCAATTTAATGATCTATGATTCCATTGTTTGCATGTAAACCAACAGTGTAATTGGTAATATCTTTTTTTGTTAAATGCTCGGTCGACCACGAAAAATGCCATGTGAGCCTCAAATGGAAAATATCACATGAAATCCATCTTTCATTGTACTATTCAAATTGTAACTGAAAATTTCATGCATATAATTGACAAAGCTTGTAGTTGAAAGACGCAAGTAACATTGTGTCCCGAACCAAAAATATATTTGATAATTTTCTCAAAGTCAGATTGCCAATATTGGTCGATGTCCCACTTGCAATATAGTTTGGCTCCATTTTTCACTATGCAAATATTATAATTTGGTAATATATTTTTCTTTCTTTAATTATGAAACACTAAATTTACTTCAAAATTATCGACCATCTATTCTCAAAATTGTTTGTAAAGTACATATTCTTAGGATATTGATCCAACAATAATATTAGAGGAATTATACACTTCTGAACTTGGATCCCCAACTTCTACATATCAGTGTATAGAATAGAAGTGATGCCTATGAAATCGATTTCAAGAGTTATGGAGGTAACATAAGAAACTCCAAATAGTTGATCAGGGCCATGGAGTCAATGTGTAATTTACACATAATAATGATACAAGAAATTAAGTCTGTCGTGGTGGGTGGGTGGGCAGTTGACTGACTTGTGGTGTTTGTGGTGTTTTGTGGTGTTTGGTGTTTTGGTTGTTGGAGGAAGAGAGGGTTGCTCTCTTGCAACTCAAAGCTTAGATAAACTACCCCAATGGAACTTCTTTGCCATCTTGGGAGGACACATTAGAAGGTAATAATAGTAAGGAGAGTGACTGTTGCTATTGTTGGTGTGGATCTCTACAATATGACAAAATTGATTATTGAGATTTTGGAATGATATTAAACTTAGAATTATTCTAAACAGAAACATTTAAATCTGTTTATGCAATTAAGAGCAAAACAGTAACATTCAAGAAAAATTAGTAAGATTTAAAACTGCAATAAATAACTTATCAATTTATATATCAGGAACGGAAATTGAATTTTATAGATCAAAGCTAGTATTTGATACTATATCTTTAAGACAAATTTTGTGTCATACTATTGTTTAAGAAAATCATAACGTTTGTCTTCCAAAATACAATAATCTTAATGCAAATTGAAAGTAACATTTCAATTCAATTGTCCAATTGATAAGAATTGTGTTGTGTACTTTAAAAAAAATAAAGACTCCTAATGCAAAGATTTATGAATGTAATGATTGCCTTAATTTATAATATGGTAAAGAAGTTAGTGCAAAATGCTAATGAATTTTAGTTATTTATAGACAAAATAATGACTATTTTGGACAGCCACCATAGCGGATTCAACCCACAAAACACCATTAAGGTATGCCTAATAAGAATAGACCCGAAATTCAAATTTAAAAGTAGAGGGAAGTTAAAAGTCAAACTAGTGCAAATTTGAATTCTAAGAGACAAAATTTGGATTAATAATTTTGGACACAATTCATAAAGGAATTTTTTCCAAAAAAATAAGGTTGGTTCTAATTTTTTTATTGTAAAATAACATACTAAAGTTGTAAAAACACTCATTGAAGTAATACATTAATTGTAGAGGTATGATATCGAATTTTTTTTTAACTACCGTAGTCAAGTCCTTATTTTAAGGTTGGTTCTAAACCAAAAAGATAAGGTTGGTTCTAATTTTTTTGAGTACTGCTACAAAACTCAAATGAAATTCAAAAAATTACAACCCAAATAAATATCATCCATTAAATAAGTGGATCTCATCAATTTTTTTAGTGAGACTCCCTTATCTCACACTCATCCAAGGGATAATATTCATTTGACTTTTAATTCTTAGATTTCACTTAGATTATGATACCGAATTTTTTTAACTACTGTAGTCAAGTCCTTATTTTGGATTCAAAGTATTACCACAAACTGTGGAATTTGTAGAGTAGATTTAACTTTTCTTTCTAATTTGTTTCTTTCTATGAGTCATGCGTGGGGTACGTTTGATCATTAATGTCAATCTCATAATAAAGAATGATAACGTTACTAAATAAAGTCACTAAATAAGCTNTTTTTTTTTTTTTTGGTAATTTTGACACAAAAAGTTAGAAAGTCATTTTAAATGAATTTTTTTTCAACTATTTAAAGAATACTCTAAACGATTTTAGAAAACCTTTTCAAATCGCAGCTTTTTACCTAAAAAAGTCAGTCCAAACAGGCTTATCGGACCATTCTCCAATGCATTTAGATCACTAACTTGCAGCTCCAACTACCAGTTATTAGTGCAAAGCAAAATTTGATTCCAACCCTCACATGCCCATTTCAATCCCTTGAAGCACTCCATGGATTCAGTTTGCAGTCAGAAGAAAATAATTTAGTTCCGTCGTACTATGGAAACAGTGATCTGAAACCTGAATTATTGAATTGGATAGATTAGTAATGTGCAATGATGAAGACTAATCTAAACCATCAACTGCCCTGTAGGTGAATCTGGGCACCATATATGGAAACATTTGATTAATTGTTGTATTATTAAGTTGACTAGAATAACAATTAGTTATAATGCAAACTCATCTAAACCATCAATAGATTCAATTAACACCACATACATGAATTTAGCACCACCGTGCTATGAAAGCAGTGATTAATTGTTGCATTATTGAATCGAATAGAATAGCAATCCGTAATGATGCAGAGTCATCTAAACCATTCGTAGGACCAAGTGACTCTATCTACATGAATTTAGCCATAAGTTATGATAGAATAATAGTAAGTTATGATAGAAACTCATCTAAACCATCAGTTGGTCCCACACACAAGAATTTAGCTATGCCATCCTATGGAAGCAATGCATTGATCGTTGACTAGTAGTGATGTAGCTGGTCTTCCCAATGGCTCCACATTAAGGAATTTAGGCCTGCCGTGTTCTAGGAAGGGGACTTGTGAATTACCAAGTCAAGTGGAATAGTCATGATAATGATGGTTTCTAAATTCTAGTGGATGAGAAGGATTTGCCTGTCAACAAAAGTAGAATGATATGTAATTACCGCTATAGATTAGTAGAAAAGTTTTCTTGATTGAATCAAAGGGTTTGCAATCGTGAGTTACGTGTGATTAACAATGTTATCGGATATACATATAATTAAAATTCTATATATTTATCAAAGAAAAAGTTTCACATTCTAATCGACAATTAACAGGATCCCTTTGAATATATTGAGCACAACTTAAATTCATGATAAGTGTTTTAACATAGAGCCAATTTAATGATCTATGATTCCATTGTTTGCATGTAAACCAACAGTGTAATTGGTAATATCTTTTTTTGTTAAATGCTCGGTCGACCACGAAAAATGCCATGTGAGCCTCAAATGGAAAATATCACATGAAATCCATCTTTCATTGTACTATTCAAATTGTAACTGAAAATTTCATGCATATAATTGACAAAGCTTGTAGTTGAAAGACGCAAGTAACATTGTGTCCCGAACCAAAAATATATTTGATAATTTTCTCAAAGTCAGATTGCCAATATTGGTCGATGTCCCACTTGCAATATAGTTTGGCTCCATTTTTCACTATGCAAATATTATAATTTGGTAATATATTTTTCTTTCTTTCATTATGAAACACTAAATTTACTTCAAAATTATCGACCATCTATTCTCAAAATTGTTTGTAAAGTACATATTCTTAGGATATTGATCCAACAATAATATTAGAGGAATTATACACTTCTGAACTTGGATCCCCAACTTCTACATATCAGTGTATAGAATAGAAGTGATGCCTATGAAATCGATTTCAAGAGTTATGGAGGTAACATAAGAAACTCCAAATAGTTGATCAGGGCCATGGAGTCAATGTGTAATTTACACATAATAATGATACAAGAAATTAAGTCTGTCGTGGTGGGTGGGTGGGCAGTTGACTGACTTGTGCATTTCTAGATCAAACTGAATAGTCATGATGATTTTGAATGCTTTACTTGTAAACTATCCAAAGGCGTCAACCCCCTATTTAATATGACACCACTTGGCCATAAAAACATAAAAAAAGAAGTATATCATAGTCTTAATAACTACATAGCTACATGTCAGAAGTTAAATATGAAGGAATCAAATGATTTGCAGTATTGGGTGGTAATGTTAGGTCTTATATGGTTTTGTGGTGTTGGGTGTTTTGGTTGTTGGAGGAAGAGAGGGTTGATCTCTTGCAACTTAAAGGTTAGATAAACTACCCCAATGGAACTTCTTTGCCATCTTGGGAGGACACATTAGAAGGTAATAATAGTAAGGAGAGTGACTGTTGCTATTGTTGGTGTGGATCTCTACAATATGACAAAATTGATTATTGAGATTTTGGAATGATATTAAACTTAGAATTATTCTAAACAGAAACATTTAAATCTGTTTATGCAATTAAGAGCAAAACAGTAACATTCAAGAAAAATTAGTAACATTTAAAACTGCAATAAATAACTTCTCAATTTACATATCAGGAACGGAAAATTGAATTTTATAAATCAAAGCTAGTATTTGATACTATATCTTTAAGACAAATTTCGTGTCATACTATTGTTTAAGAAAATCATAACGTCTGTCTATCAAAATACAATAATCTTAATGCAATTGAAAGTAACATTTCAATTCAATTGTCCAATTGATAAGAATTGTGTTGTGTACTTTAAAAAAAATAAAGACTCCTAATGCAAAGATTTATGAATGTAATGATTGCCTTAATTTATAATATTGTAAAGAAGTTAGTGCAAAATGCTAATGAATTTTAGTTATTTATAGACAAAATAATGACTATTTTGGACAGCCACCATAGCCGATTCAACCCACAAAACACCGTTAATGTATGCCTAATAAGAATAGACCCGAAATTCAAATTTAAAAGTAGAGGGAAGTTAAAAGTCAAACTAGTGCAAATTTGAATTCTAAGAGACAAAATTTGGATTAATAATTTTGGACACAATTCATAAAGGAATTTTTTCCAAAAAAATAAGGTTGGTTCTAATTTTTTTATTGTAAAATAACATACTAAAGTTGTAAAAACACTCATTGAAGTAATACATTAATTGTAGAGGTATGATATCGAATTTTTTTTTAACTACCGTAGTCAAGTCCTTATTTTAAGGTTGGTTCTAAACCAAAAAGATAAGGTTGGTTCTAATTTTTTTGAGTACTGCTACAAAACTCAAATGAAATTCAAAAAATTACAACCCAAATAAATATCATCTATTAAATAAGTGGATCTCATCAATTTTTTTAGTGAGACTCCCTTATCTCACACTCATCCAAGGGATAATATTNAGTATGTCATAACTTGATACTCTCAATGGACCACCGGGTCTTCTTAATATTTTTTTTTGATGGGATCCATTCACACAAAGGTCCTATCCATTTGGGATCCAAAAATTAAGAATTTTAGTTTGGATCCAAAGTATTGGGTCTCATTTATGATATATTTGAATATATGGAGTCTCATTTAGATTCATGATAAATATTTAATTTTGAGCACATTTAATACTAAAAATTTGAATTTCATTTTCAGCTATATAAATTAACGAGTATTATGATTAGTAACATGACTAACTAACCATTTAAAAAGGAGTAATGTTATTGTGACTTAATTTGCTGACCTAATTCACTATGATCTTTGGATTGACTGTGGAGCCCATTAAACATTAGAACTTAGTACTGATCCAATGGTTCTACTGAAACCACATCATTATGTTAACAAATTAAGTCAAATTTTTATGTCCAAATAGTATTATTCTTCAAAAAGATATCAAAAAATTTGGAGATGTAATTGACGTCTACTTTTGTTGTGGGAGAAAACTAGAATTGCCAGTGGAGCCAAAAATATATTTAATTAGTTTTTTCAACTTTAGATCACTAATGTTGATGAATGAGCCATTTGAATAAAATCTACTAATAAGGTCTCAGGTCTCATTTTTATTGTTGGAAAGTGTTTAAAATTTAGTCAATTTAACAGAACTAAACCTCACTCCCATTTTCACTATGCAAACATTATAATTTGGTTATATCTTTTTCTTGTTCTTTTTTTCTTTCATGTTTCACTGTGCATACTGGCCTCGAATTTAGCTTTTCCGTGTTATGGGGGTTGTGGACTGACTTGTGCACGACTGGTCTTGAGTCAAGATTTTGAGAGCTTGGCCTGCTACTTCTCCAAAGGCATCACCCCTCTATTTAATCTGATAGCACTTTGCCAAGAAACACAAGCAAAAACATATCAGCAAATAAATATGAAGGAATCAAAGGGTTTGGAGTGGTGGGTGGTAATGTTAGCTTTGATATGGCTTTGTGGTGTTGGGTGTTTTGGTTTTTGGGAGGAAGAGAGGGTTGCTCTCTTGCAACTCAAAGCTTCCATAAACTACCCAAATGGACCTTCTTTGCCATCTTGGGAGGATAGAGTGGAAGTTTATAACAGTATGGAGAGCGACTATTGTTATTGGGAAGGAGTTGAATGCAACGAGACCACATCTCATGTAATTAAGCTTTTCCTTAACTCTACAAGGGATGGGTCTTTAGGAGATTGGTATTTCAATGCCTCTTTGTTTCTTCCCTTTAAAGAGCTCCGAAATCTTGACTTATCTAATAACCAGCTTGTTGGTTGGGTCGCAAATGAAGGTCCAGATTTTCCTGCTTAGCAAAATAATAAGCATGTGGTGTTCTTAATATGTTAATTAGGGAATTTTTTTTTATTTTATCCAAAAGTAAAATTCTTAACAGGTTTCGAAAGATTATTTGTGTTGAGCAAGCTGGAGGTTCTTCAGTTGGATTCCAATTATTTCAATAACAGCATCCTATCATCTCTAGGATTGGTTTCGTCACTTCAGAGACTATACATAGGAGACAACTATTTCNAGCAAGCTGGAGGTTCTTCGGTTGGATTCCAATTATTTCAATAACAGCATCCTATCATCTCTAGGATTGGTTTCGTCACTTCAGAGACTATACATAAGACACAACTATTTGAATGGATCTATTCACCTGCAAGGTATGAAAGAGATTTTAACAACATTTATTTATGTACGAGAATTGCAATAAATGGCCTTTTCTCCACTGCTTCTGCTTGGAACCATATCAAGGGAACCAGTCCAAAAACCTCTTGGTCCAAGCTTCCCTGGTACAGTCAATCCATCCCGAGAATGAGCTTCATTCTTTGGTTGGCCATCAAGCAAAGGCTCTCTACCAAGAATAGAATTCATGATCCTTATAACTAGACTAGCTTGGAATGCATGGTTTGGAGGCGTCACCCTGAATCCCACTTTCACCTCTTCTTTGAACGTGTCTATTCCTTTTAATTGATGGCTTTAAGTGCATAGTAGATTGCATCCCGTGTATTTAATTTATTTTTTTAAACTGTGTTTCAAAATTGACGAAGACATGTTATTAGTGCTCTCTAAAATTCTAATTTCTTATTCCTAATTTTTGGAAAATTGGATACAAAGTTCTATCATCCAAACAACTTTTCTTATTTTTTTTCATATCCGAAAATAAAAAAATTGTTTTACATATGCAAACCAAACAAGACTTTTGACAATAATTATTTCTCAACCTAAAATCCAATGAAAGAATGCAGTAGACAAAGAAATCAGTAAGCTTACAGACTGAAGTAATAAAATACTAATGGACATACATTCTTACAGATCTGAAATACTTGTTGTTTTATGGGTAGACTTTCCTGCTACGAGCAACCTGGAAGAGTTGGACTTGAGTTATAACAGAAATATTGCCAGCCTCACTACCATGATAGGTATAGATGATTTGTCGAAGGATATGTTGTTTTCGTTCTCTTCATGTGCAGGATTGAATTGGAACTACAGTATAGATCATAACAGTGTAATATTTTGCATTCAGGTATGAAGAGCTTAAACAAGCTTCAAGTTCTTAGCATGGAAGGCATCATATTTAATGCAAGTGTTTTACATTCACTAGGTGCATTGCCATCTCTTAGGAAGTTAATCCTTGCAGTAGAAGGATTGGTCACCAAAAAAGGTAATGACGACGACTTAATAATATTTTCTGCAGTTCCTTCCTCCCTTTTGTTACGGTTAATTAAAATATTTACATTAAGGCATTATCTGCAGTAACTTATACACTAATCAGTCCAGTTGGTATATGTGACGTGATGGATACTCAGGAGCATTGGTTTAAAAAAAAAAAATACTTTGTTACACTTTTATACCACTAATGTATAATCAGATTGCTTCAAAACAAAAACAAAAGAAAAAAGGTGTATATCATCATATTGAAGCTCTTAATTTCAGAATTTAGCCCTTTATTTCTTATTTAAACAAACTTAAACTTGAACCCAAACACCTGTATCATTATCAATACACGCGCACATAACATAACCACAGACGCAACTACACATAGGCACTTGAGCACACACATACACCACTGTCCTCTCTCTCTCTCTCCCTCTCTCTAACACACTGTCCTCCCATCTTCTTCTTCTTCTACAGCATCCGCCTCTTGTTGCTCATTTTGTTGCAGTTGTTCATAGACACTGAGAGAAGAACACCTGGACATAATCTTACAAACACATGCACACATAATTTTTTTTATCTCTCTCTCTCTTTCTATAACTCAACTAAAATTTGTAGATCCCTTGAGATGTAGTGGTTCAAAACCTAATTTCTAGTGCTTAATTTCCTTGAATTTTAACTGAGAACTCGTAAACTTAAAGAGACCAAAACCTAGCTAGTGCATGATTCAGAAGTGAAATTTGTGCAAATTTCTTTAATTCGGATGAAAGTTAAGATTCAAGTATTTTTTTAGGAGGAAAGCTAGAGAGAAATAAAAATCAATCTAGCTTAATGCTATGGTTTTATCGTAACCATTGGATTAATACAAAGTTTCAGTATTTCTTAGGACCCACCATAAATCTAATAGCTATAATGAATTATGCCAGTAAATTAGGTCAATAAATTTGTCACGCCCCTGCCCCGGATCACGTAGGGTGGAAAACGAACCAGCCACCAAATTCTTAACCAACTAACCATGTGCATAATAAATGTAAAGTATAATGGAAGACATATATTAAAATGATTCATTCCACACATCTAATGAATACCAAAAAAATAAACTAAAAATTATCCAATATCATTATTAAAGCCATGTAAAACCATAATCAAACTATAAGATTTACAAACTCCAAACATAAACAACATTATTCCTAAAATAATTAAATAATTGTTTTAAAATCATAAACGATACTTATTCTTAAAGACTTACAATAGAATAAATCTTCAAGTCCCCTAAGTCCTTGTTTGTCAATAGACTTACTCTTCACCCTGATGCTCACCTAGAAAAATTTTTGTATGAGCACAGGAACCCTTGAATAGAAATCACTTCTAATGAGGAGTGAAAATATGTCTCACTGTTTATATAAAAGAAATAAATTTTTATACATACTTAAGTACAACAAATTGTACCACAGCCCTTCTTACATAATCATTTACACAAAATGATATCATATTCACAAATATCTATACAAAAGAAAATATATTTATAGCTCAAACACCCACACACACTCAATTTCAAATACATTTGTTATCTTTAGCCCGATAGTTAAGCTTCGTCTCATGTTTGTTACCACTAGTTTGATAATTGGCCCAATCGTTTGTCATCGTTAGTCTGATGAAAGACCTCTATGTGTACATCCTTCTACCGATCACACCAGTATTCCTTCAATATCATTACTATTTAAACCTAGTAACCCAGTTCTCATATCACAAAACATGATTTTAACATACACACACCAGAACTATTGTTTAAGTCCCGNACACATCTAATGAATACCAAAAAAATAAACTAAAAATTATCCAATATCATTATTAAACCCATGTAAAACCATAATCAAACTATAAGATTTACAAACTCCAAACATAAACAACATTATTCCTAAAATAATTAAATAATTGTTTTAAAATCATAAACGATACTTATTCTTAAAGACTTACAATAGAATAAATCTTCAAGTCCCCTAAGTCCTTGTTTGTCAATAGACTTACTCTTCACCCTGATGCTCACCTAGAAAAATTTTTGTATGAGCACAGGAACCCTTGAATAGAAATCACTTCTAATGAGGAGTGAAAATATGTCTCACTGTTTATATAAAAGAAATAAATTTTTATACATACTTAAGTACAACAAATTGTACCACAGCCCTTCTTACATAATCATTTACACAAAATGATATCATATTCACAAATATCTATACAAAAGAAAATATATTTATAGCTCAAACACCCACACACACTCAATTTCAAATACATTTGTTATCTTTAGCCCGATAGTTAAGCTTCGTCTCATGTTTGTTACCACTAGTTTGATAATTGGCCCAATCGTTTGTCATCGTTAGTCTGATGAAAGACCTCTATGTGTACATCCTTCTACCGATCACACCAGTATTCCTTCAATATCATTACTATTTAGACCTAGTAACCCAGTTCTCATATCACAAAACATGATTTTAACATACACACACCAGAACTATTGTTTAAGTCCCAACGCACATAAAATTATCCCACACATTTTCAAAGTTAACATGTGTAACAAATCACAATTGGAATAATTAATTATAAAAAATTTAGTTCCAACCCCAAATATCAACATATATAGCATATATTTGAAATATCCATACACACATACACCCACAAGTTTAATATAGAAAATTCTTCCAAAAGAAGTAATAAAGTACTCACATTGATTCTCATATTCCAATTCAAACCCCTCTCTCCCAATCTCAATGTAATTACTACCTAATCCAAAATAACATGTAATGATTAATCACTATTTCTAAATTCATAATTTTGCGATTTTATATTTAATTTTTATACTTCTTACCCATTGACATATCTTTATATATTATTTGCATATAAATAAAATTTTAATATGAGATAATAGGGTATGCAAGTAGTATAGGTAATTTAAAAAAAATTAAAAAGTTTTGGGGTCAAATCATAATTTTTGAAATTNGTTTGTTACCACTAGTTTGATAATTGGCCCAATCGTTTGTCATCGTTAGCCTGATGAATGACCTCTATGTGTACATCCTTCTACCGATCACACCAGTATTCCTTCAATATCATTACTATTTAGACCTAGTAACCCAGTTCTCATATCACAAAACATGATTTTAACATACACACACCAGAACTATTGTTTAAGTCCCAACGCACATAAAATTATCCCACACATTTTCAAAGTTAACATGTGTAACAAATCACAATTGGAATAATTAATTATAAAAAATTTAGTTCCAACCCCAAATATCAACATATATAGCATATATTTGAAATATCCATACACACATACACCCACAAGTTTAATATAGAAAATTCTTCCAAAAGAAGTAATAAAGTACTCACATTGATTCTCATATTCCAATTCAAACCCCTCTCTCCCAATCTCAATGTAATTACTACCTAATCCAAAATAACATGTAATGATTAATCACTATTTCTAAATTCATAATTTTGCGATTCTATATTTAATTTTTATACTTCTTACCCATTGACATATCTTTATATATCATTTGCATATAAATAACATTTTAATATGAGATAATAGGGTATGCAAGTAGTATAGGTAATTTAAAAAAAATTTAAAAGTTTTGGGGTCAAATCATAATTTTTGAAATTTTTTTAGGTCAAAATATATTTTCCTTGAAAACCGAATTTTCTATTTTGGTGCGACCATACAATTTTCCAGCATTTTATTGTTCTAACTTACCAACTAAAAGGTGGCCAGAATTAAATTTATAAGAATCTAGGGGTTAATATATAATGCATTGAAATTAAATGGGGTGTCCTGTAATTTTTGAGTTTTCATTTTCTTCCTCCATGAGATTCCCAGATTCTCATATTCTGCAAATGCAAAAGTCCAACCTCCCTTTTTTTTTTCTTTCCAACACAATTTAAATTTATAGTTATTTTTGAAATTATCTAACTAAACAAGTTCTTCGTCTCCGAAATACTTTTTAAAAATTATTTTTAGATATTATTTTTAGAGACGCAAATCAAACTGCCCCTAATTTTCCACGGAACCATGTTTTTTTTTTTTTTGAGCAAAACAAGGAACCATGTTTGACTCCACTTTATATGGCCCTCCCAAGTTTTCACAATTATACCTCACCCCCTTAAATTGTGGCCATCTTATATATTGTACCATTGAACATTCAAGGCAATTCTGTGGATTATTTTTGTCGAAAAAATAACAGTGTATGAAAAATCAAATTTAAATAAGTTGTAAAAAAATTGATAAATTAAATGATTAGTTATGTTATGTGTTAAATTCAATAGTCGATGAATAAAATGATATAAGAGTCATAATTTATCGATATATTACATGTATAAGATTCAAATCAAATATAATATGAATTTAAGAGAGATACGTATTATTCGTCTCGTTTTGTTTAGTTTTCATAATTTAAAAAGACATAACGTGATTTACTGCTACTCGAGCAATCATGTGATAAAATTGGGCTTAAATTGGATTAAACGCTATCCAATTCTAAACAACTATAAATTTAAATTCTGCTTAATAACTTCTAAAATTAACGAGGTATTGTATATATGTATCAGTTATAACTCGTGCATGAAGACATGATAAAACACAAGTATCAAGCATTCAAAAAATTGATCCCACTATACAAAATAATAATTTTTTATTTCTTTGTTTCTTTTATTACATCAATTAAAATTAATTTTTACCTATTATTTTTTTTAAAATAGCGTCAAAATTTTGTAGAACTCGGAATTTTTTTTTTAACACGTGTACACTATTGTGTATGAATAAAGTATGAAATAAAATTTATGTTAAATTACAAATTAATCACCTTGGGTTTTACAAAATTAGGTCTCAATATCATTGCTCTTTTTTTTATTAATACTATTGGGACATAAATAACTGAACTGCATAATGATGTGTCAAGAGGTTTAGTCCAAATGGAAAAGTCTAAAAGTTATAATTACAACAATACTATTGATAAATTTAGAAATTAATCCTATTAGAGCATTTCCAACTTTGACTTAAATTTGGGTCAATATTTGAGTAAAAAGTTTGATTTAATACAAAATAGTCTAATGAAAAAACTCAAATTTAAAAGAAGATAAACCCAAATTTAAAGATTTAAGTCTTCCTTGATTTAAGTAAAATATTGAGTATCTCTTAACTTGGTATGAATTTGGATATAATATTGGAGAAAGATTTTAGGAATTTAAATTTGGGTTAAAAATGAGTAAAGGACGGAAATTAACAGATGTGTTTTTTAAATTTTAATAATCAACTCTTTTTTTTTTCCCAGTATTCGATTTTCATAATTCAAAAAGAGGGATTATCATTTGCTTATCTGCCATATGACTAACAGTTCTACTAGATACGAATGCATTACGTATTTTGATCTCTTAATTTTGTTTCTTCTTATTTTCAAAACAGAGTTGAGGGGTCTGAACAACTTGGAGCATTTAATTTTGGATTATTCATCCATCAATGGGAGTTTTCTTCATAACGCTGGAGTGATGACTTCTCTAAGGGTTTTGTCATTGTCTAACTGTGGACTTCGTGGCAGTCTACCTGCTCAAGGTATATATATGAGTTTATTCATGAATTGTTGCTTCGATGTTGAATCTTTAAAATAGGATCCTCAAATTTTTTTACATGTCACTAACAAAATTAATTTTTAATTTATATGAATCACAACAACTCATGCTAGGCGGCATTACTTCTTTTATTTTACAGGATTTTGCGATCTTAAGAACCTTGAAGAGCTATACCTTGATGACAATGATTTTGAGGGGATATTTCCTTCATGTATGGGAAACTTGACATCGCTTCGAGCATTGGATCTCTCTTCCAATAACTTGCATGGAAGTGTTGCCCACTCTCCCCTTACTATTCTCACTTCACTTGAATACCTTTCCCTTTCAGATAATCACTTCATGATTCCATTCTCATTTGCCTCATTTTCTAACCATTCAAAGCTTGAGGTCATTTTAAGTGATAATAACGTAGCAACGATTGAAAATGAATCTCAATCATGGATCCCGAGATTTCAACTGAAGTTTTTTAGTTTGTCAAATTGTGCCATTAAAACACTACCTTCTTTCCTGTATTACCAAAATGAGATGATAGCTGTTGATCTCTCCCACAACAACTTATTGGGGAAGTTCCCCACCTGGTTGTTAGAGAATAATACGAGATTGGAATTACTT